TTGTCCTCCCAACTGGACAGACTTTAAAGAAAATTTGATCCACATAGATCAGTGTAAAATCTCTGTGGAGAGAAACTCCAGATTGAAACTATTATAAGAAAAGGGGATTAGAATGCCAAGTATTGTGCTAGACTGCAGATATTTCTGGAGGACCTTGAAGAATACTTTTATCTTCAGAGGTGGAACAACTAGACTTAGAGAGGGAAGAGGATGGAGTTCGGAGTAACAAAGAAGAGTCAGAGGCTGCTGATGTATTAGGAACCAACAGGGAAATACCCGTAAAATGCCTCAAAGTAATTAGGGCTTTTTGCTCTAAAAAGGTGACACAGTCAATAGCCCAACTGAAATGTCTCTACACCAATGCACGTAGCATGGACAACAAGCAGGAGGAACTAGAAGCGACTGCACAGCTGGAAAGCTATGATCTAATCACTATTGCTGAAACCTTGTGGGACATGAGTGACATGAGTGGAGAGCTGCAGTCGACGGCTACGAACTGTTCAGGCAGCACAGGCAAGGAAGGAGGGGTGGACAATTTGCCCTCTATGGACTGATAGCACAAAGCTGCCTTTGAAAAACAGCATTGAACAGATTGAGAGCTTGTGGGTGAAAAATAGCAGCCAAGCCAACAAAGGAAACCTCATGGTAGGAGTTTATTACCAGCCACCCAATCTAGGCAAGTCAGTTGATGAAGTGTTATTTCAACTGCAGGAAGCATCACACTTGCAGGCTCTGATCCAGCTGGGGGACTACAGTCACCCTGACATCTGCTGGAAAAGCAGCACAGCAAGCTGTAGGCAGTCCAGGAGACTCTTGGAGTCCATCGAGGATAATTTCTTAATCCAAGTGACAGACAGCCCAACCAAAGGAGAAGCAGTACTGGACCTGTTGCTTACCACACAGAATAACTGATTACAGAGGTCGGTGGCAGCTTGAACTGCAGTGATCACACCCCAGTGGAATTCACAATCTTGAGGGGTACAGACCAGGTGAAGAGTAAATTCAAGACCTTGAATTTTAGGAAAATGAACTTTCAGTTGTTTAGGGAATTACAGAATGGGAGCTCCCCCTGGAAACTGCCCCCAGGGATAAAGGAGCAGAACAGAGCTGGCAGATCTTTAAGGACATTTTTCTTAGAGCACAAGAGCTCTCAATTCCCCTGTGTTAAGGAATCAGGCAAGGACCGCAGGAGACCACCATGGCTGAGTAAGGACCTCCTGGTCAAATTAAAGCATAAGAAAGAAATGCACAGGCAGGAGAACCAGGCATATGTATCCTGGGAACAATATAGGGACGCTGCCCAGTTGTGTAGGGATGGGATCAGGAAAGCTAAGGCATGGTTGGAGATGGATTTGGGAAGGGATGCAAAGAATGATAAGAATGCCTTCTTGTCCTGGTTTCAGCAGGGACTAAGTTACTTTTCTTTCTGACAGCTGGTGTAGTGCTGTGGTTTGGATTTAGGAGGAGAACAATGTTGATAACACACTGATGGTTTTAGTTGTTGCCAAGTAGTCAAGGACTTCTTGTCTTCTCATACTGCCCTGCCAAAGAGGAGGTAGGGGGCACCCAAGAAGCTGGGAGGGGGCACAGCCAGGGTAGCTGACCCAACCTGACCAAAGAGATACTCCATATCATACATCATCATGTCCCATTTCTAACTGGGCAGCTGGGGGTCTTGCGCAGCACCAGCTTCGGAGTGATGGCATTTGTCTTCCAAAGTAAGCATTATGTGTGATGGAGCCCTGCTTTCCTGGAGATGGCTTAACACCCGCCTGCCCATGGGAAGCACTGAAGGAACTCCTTGTCTTGTTTTGCTTGTACATGTGGGCTGGGAGGCTGGGCAGCTGGGGGTCTTGTGTAGCATTGACCACAAGTGATAAGAAATTGTGTTGTTCATCATTTGTTTTGTTTTTATTACAATTATTTTCCTTTTGGTGTTTGTCCTATTAAATTGTTTTTATCTCAATCCATGAGTTTTCTCATTTTCACCCTTCTGATTCTCTCCCCTGTTCCACTGGTACGGAAGGTAGTGAGCAAGCTGCTGCATGGTGCTTAACTGCCAGCCAGGGCTAAACCATGACACTTCTACAGGTATGCTGGTCAGAAAAGGAAAATTAAAGAAAATGTACCCACTCCCTCATCCCCTCTTTGCCCCCATAAATAAGACAGGAGAACTAGGCACAACCAACATGAAGGCTGAGGTATGGAGCAACGTTTTGCCTGTTTTCACTTGTAATGTCTCTTCTTACATCTCTCAAGTCCCTGAACTTCAAGGCAGGGACTGACAGAATGAAGTCTCTCCCGCTGTAAGAGAAGATCAGGTTCCAGATCATTTGAGGAACCTGAACATACACAAGTCCATGGGACTCAGTGAGATGCATACCAGGGTGCTGAAGGAATTGGCTGATGTAGTTGGCAAGCCACTCTCGACCATATCTGAAAAGTCATGGCACTCGGGCAAAGTCCCCAGTGACTGGAGGAACTATTGCACCTCTTTTTAAAAAGGGTAAAGGAAGACCCTGGGAACTACTGACCAGTCAGCCTCACATCAGTGACCAGTGAGATCATAGAACAGAGACTCCTGGAAGACATGTAAAAGCATATGGAAGAGACGGAAGTGATGAAAGACAGCCAGCATGGCTTCACCAAGCACAAATCATGCCTGACTGATTTAGTGGCCCTCTACAATGGACTGACTGCATCAGTGGACAAGGAAAGAACTACAGACATCATTTACCTGGACTTCTGTAAGGCCTCTGATTTGGCTGCTCACAACACTCTTGCTGCTAAATTGGAGAGATACGGGTTTGATGGATGAATGTAAGATGGATAAGGACTTGGTTGGACAGCTGCATCCATAGAGTGGATAGTCCACATCCAGTGGCTCGATATCCACACGGAAACCAGTAACAAGCAGTGTCCCGCAAGGGTCCATTCTGGAACCAAAACTATTCAATACCTTCATAAATGACAGATAGTTGGATTGAGTGCACTCTCAGAAAATTTGTGGATGCCAAAGCTGAGTAGTGCAGTTGATACGCCAGTGGGCAGGGATGTCATCCAGAGAGACCTTAACAGGCTTGAGAAGGAGGCCCATGTGAACCTCATTAAGTTCAACAAGGCCAAGTGCAAGGTTCTGCACAGGACAATCCCCAATATCAATACAGGTTGGGGAAGAATGGATTGAGAGCAGCCTTGTGGAGATGGATTTGGCAGGTCAGAAAGCCAATCATACCCTGGGCTGTATAAAACGAAGCATGACCAGCAAGTCAAGGGAGATGATTCTGCCCTTCTAGTCCACTCTCATGAGACCCCACCTGGAGTAATGCATCCAACTCTAGGGTCCCCAGCACAAGAAAGACATGGACTTGTTAGAGCCGGTCCAGAGAAAGGCCACAAAAATGATCAGAGGGCTGGAGCACCTCTCCTACGAGGAAAGGCTGAGAGAGTTGGGATTGTTCAGCCTGGAGAAGAGAAGGCTCTGGGGAGACCTTATTGTGGCCTTTCAATATATAAAGGGAGTTTATAAGACAGACAGGGAAAGACGTTTTACCAAGGCCTGTAGTGACAGGACAAGGGGTAATGGTTTTAAACTAAAAGAGGGTAGATTCAGACTACATAGAAGGAAGACATTTTTTATGATGATGGTGAGGCACCAGGTTGCCCAGAGAGGTTATGGATGCCCCATCCCTGGAAGTGTTCAAAGGTTGAATGGAGCTTTCAGCAACCTGACTTAGTGAAAGATGCCCCTGCCCCTGCCCATGGCACGGTCTATTGGATAAGATGATCTTTAAAAGTCTGTTCCAACTCAAATCATTCTATGATAAGAAGTGCTGTAACACAGCCATTTGAATTTATTTTATTTTTTAAGAGAAAAAACGTAAAAACTGAAGAACATAGAAGAATTACTGAAGAGGAAAATTTATTAGCTACAGATAGACAATCTAGTGATACATACTAGCTAGAAAACATGAGAGGCAAATGAGTAAGGCTACCAGCAGTGGTTATTTTACAAAGCCTCAAAGGCAAAGGTTAGATACACTTAAAAAGAAAGCAAAAATTTCTCAGTGTACTCCTTCTAACAAAGTGTAGCCTAGAAGACTTATCTGCATAATATCCAAATGGAAGTAATCTTCTAGTTTAAGACTTCTCTCCTGGGGTTCATTTGAAGAGAAAGGAAACATTGTAAGAGTGCTGAAGAACAAATCTGTGGATTTTTCTGCACAGCTAGGTAAAACTCACAGTCTAAGGTGTCAACACCAACTCAAGACAAACTAAAGAAATCCCAGGTAACTGGTATCCCCTTTGAAAAATTTTAAAACTGATGACTGAGCACTCCCTAAAGAAACTCACTAGTCTACCTCATCCAGTAAATCACTTGCAAAAAGAAACTACATATTTTTCTTTATCTCTTACCACCACAGGTTGTTTAGGCCTATGTAATTGACTGTTTTCAGTTACAAAACCAGTTTCTTAGGTCAAAGGCTAGCAATAATTTTTTTTTTTTAAAGATGAAAAAAATCAAAAAGGTCTACATATTGTAGTTCAGTTAAACAATATCTGGAGTTTTCAACTTCAATATACAAACAAACTACAAATTGTCACTTTCATGACATGACTTGATTTTTTCACATTTCTGCTTTAACCATGTTGTAAATTAAATGCACTGATTATATCTGCACATTGGTCACATGAAGACAGGCCTGTTTACCCCTACCAACACTGTAGAGTTTAGTTGCATATATCGTTTCATATTCTCTTGTTTTGCAGGAAGAGTTCTCACATTCATAGCACAAATTTGGATTATGATGGAAGTACTATATGTTGGTATCTATGTCTTATTTCCATTTTGCATATAAATATTTGAAATGTATTTACAAGTATGTCACTTATTAGTTTTCCAATTTTCTAATGTAATTTTCTACTAGGTTTAGCCCTACTCT